TGTCTTTGTTTTGACAGTCTTCTGTCCCTTTTTTCCACCTCCATCACCGAGATTTGTAAGTCACCTTAGCGCAGTGTTTTTCTTGTGTGGAATCTAAGCGGGCAATCCCAAGGGGGCAGCTTAGATAGTCAATCCCAACACAGCATTCTCTACATATTACCCACAGGTATGGCTAGCGATAGTATATGGTAAACTTAATAACGTCGGGTAGCTTATGTGATTATTGTAACTCTAAGGTAGCTTCCACAAAGGCTCTTCAACGTTCAAGTAACAAAATCCAAGTTACAAACTGCATGTGTACACTGTGTTACGGCTTTGACCCGGACAATAAAGTTTGCAATGCCTCAACACACTGAACGGTGTAAATGGATACAATTAAAAACGCCTTGGCAATCTGATAAAATGATGGAGTAGTATCCACTACAATACCGCGCACTTGACACTTGTGCAGATCTAAACCACTGTACGCGCGCATCACGCCAACTGTGCATAACATGAAACAGTACCTGTAATTTTGCATATGAAGCAAAATTTGAAAGTTTCCAGGACCAGAATGAGCTTATCCTAAGAAGTCAGATATTCTTTTAAAATGCACTACGAGGAAATTCACTTTTCCCTGGTATTTTGTTCCTTTTCTTCTACAATTTTTATTTTCCAGTGCAATGGGAGGTTTTCTTCTTACTACATGACGGCTGATGGCTGGGTTTCCAGGATTTACCACTCGTGAAAACAGTCTCCACCTAAGTGCTGGGTGCCAATGAAGGAACATAACTGATGTATAAGGCCTCCAAAGAGCATGGCAATGGTTAATAATTACTGCAGTAGAAGGCTGCATATGCAGGAGTTCCCTGGAAAAAATTTTACAGTACCGCTTGCGTATATGTTAACTGCGTAGACGAATTACGTACGCTGAGACTCAGGGTAGTCAGACGCGCATATACGATTGTTTTGCGCGCACGGTCGAAAAAATGCGCGACTCATGTGCCTTTGTTATTCAGTGCTATAAATTTCCTTTGTATTTCATAGTTGTGTAAAACAAAGAACTTTTAAGTTTGAAAATGCGACAAGTCGACAACGGAAAACTCACGTAATTTTATTCATTGCAATC